GCTCGCAACCTTGGCAAGGAATTCACCCCCCAGGCTCAGGCTGCCTTCCAGAAGGTGGTGCTTGGTGTGGCCACTGCCCTGGCTCACAAGTACCACTGAGATCTCGACCTCTTCCTGAAGGCCATTGGAACACCCTATTTCCCTATGTTCTGTCCTCTCAGCTTGGGGAAATAATGCCCGCCTTCAGGGCATGTTTTCTGCCTAATAAAGAACTTTCAGCTCAGCCCTGCTTCAGCTCACTTGTTTTATTTGATTTCTGGGGTTTGGGGAATTTCCTTAAGGTGTAAATTTGGGGACTCTTGTATGTTATAGAAAGACATGCCATACTTGGCCAATGATGGATGACACTTCACCTGCAAATCATAGGAATTACCATGAAGTTCTGAAATAGGGAGAGAATATTGTCATTCAAGGGTTTATGGAGCTCAGACCTAATATATAACTTTTAGGCTAAGTTTATGTCCTTTTTTAACTTTAAAGAATGTTCTCAGTCAGTGCTGATATTTCTTTTTTTTCCCTTCTTCCCTTGCCTATATATTTTAACACATAATTCTCTACTCCATAAAGGCTTAAAACTTTATTTATTTATTTATGCATAAAAGAACTTGGAGGTGGGGTTAGGGGGTGAGAGGATTCACCAGAGACAGAGCAGCACAGGCAGATTGACTGAAATGCACTGCTGAAGGGAGCAGTGGGTGAGACTGGAGAAGTCTACCACACCATGTGGGTCAACTCCCTAGCAGGATACAATTGGTACTGCAGTGGCTGCCTGATGGCTCCATGGTGCTGAGACTTAACCCCTGCACCACCAGGGAGGCCTTAGTCCATAGAGGCTTTGTGTTCCATGGAATAAACTCCTTCTCTCACTTGTCAAAAACAACCCCAAACAATTCTCAACCTAAACTATTAAGGCAAAATTCACAGCTAATATATGTTTTCTGTCCCTTTTGGCCCTGACCTCAGTGAACTCTCTAATACCTTGCCTAAGGAGATTTTCCCAACTTTGCCCTTCAACTCTTTTTGCATTTTTTCCTTCATCCTTCTTTGCTGGATACTCATTTCTGCCTTTGTCCTAACCTATGTTACTGTTGTGCCTCGTAAAGCTCCCCCCAGTGGGTAAGTGAATATTTAGAAGTAGAATAATCATGAAGTTCCTTGTGTTAGAACTCCTGAAACTAGAGCATTTGTTCCCTCCTTCTCAGTTCGGCACTGAGAACTCTATTTGTATGACATGTGTCATAACCACAGCCTCATGTCCCAGAGTCAGTTTCTTTGTGTACAATTTTAAGCCAATTACAAGGAAATGTGGTTGAGGACTCTGCACATGATCCTAGCCCTGCCCCAACACATACAGAGAATAGCAGTACATCAACTCTGTCTATGTTCCATCTGCCAGGAGGCAGAGGGATGGACAATGGGTTTATGTTCCATGGCCACGAAATGGTTCTTGAGACCCTTTGGCTATAGTTATAAAAGGGTGCCTTATAGTCAGAATTCTCTGACCATAAGAGACAGGTTCTGGGAGGTGCAGGGGCTAGGGGTTTCTATAGGCTTTAGAACTGGAGTTTGAGAATAAAGAAATTAAGCTTTATTGCTGAGAAAGCAAAAAGACGGGACTTGGTCAAAGTCCACTATTGTTTCTGATTGTTAACATCAGCCCCGAGCATCTGGGTATCAGGTAAGACTCCTGACCTTCTCCAAGGTGAGCCTGTCACCAAGGCCACATGCCCTTGGCTCCGGTGAGACCCAGTCTGGACTGAAGGTCTGTGACTTCCTTTTTCTTCTGGGTCGCTTAACCCTCCCTTTTCTCATAGCAATTATTTTGATTAGTTGTAGAAAGATAGCTCAGAAATGGTAAAACAGCAACAACAACAAAAAAATCACAATAACAAGTCAAAGAAACTTATGGCAATAGATTTTAGGGCCTGGAGTCATCAGGTTTTTAGACTCTTGTTTACCAGTCCACAGAACAGTGAAATTCTTGCCAAATCTCAGTCCTTGATTCCTACCCCTGTCCCAGGACACTTCCTCTCTCACTTTCACCAACTTGAGCACAGAAATTCCTCCTAAGAATCAGAAATATGGAGATGAGATATTCAGAGGACTTGCAAAAGGGTAAGAGAGATTGTGGATTTCATGTTTGTAAATAAGTGAAACAGATCACCCTTCTTCCTTTTATGTTTGTCAAAAAATAAATAAAAGCACTTCAAGTTTTACTATATAAGCTTTTATTCCTTCTCCCCTGGAATTGGTCAATGAATTGAGCCAAGAGTTTAGACCTAAAGATGTGAATATTGAGAACTCAAGCAAACATCTCTTGACTAGGGCTGTGTCAAGTATAATGATTACTATATCTAAGGTTTTTCTGTATTCATTTTAGTAGTGAGCAAATCAATGTATACAGAGAGACTTGGAATTTACAAAGCACTAGGAGCCAACCTGCTTGTTTAGCAGTAGATGATTTTAATTTTGTTTAATAATTTGTCTATATATTATTTCTATTTTCTACTCTTCTTATTGCTTTTTAAACTGTCTTTGGTATGTTTGATCAAAGATGAGGTGTAGGTGTGAGAGACAGAAGGTTGGAGAGAAAGAGAAGAGGGAAAGTGGGGAGATGAAAAGGACAGGGGAGAGGGTAAGAACATAAAATAATGCTGTGAGGAGATTCATAACCATTTTAAAATAAGATAATTTCTCTTAATGTCAATGCAATTTAGCAAAATAAGCAAAAAGCTCTCAATTATCCATCTCTTCAGCCTCGATTTGGTCTCATAAACTAATACCTTAATGTTTGCAAAGGGTACTCAGACTAAACTTAAGATTCTGCCTCAAAAGTTACACAGGTTCAAATTTGACTTGGGAAAGTCTGATTATTTGCATTCCATAAATTAAAACCATGACTTAGTAACATACACCAAAAATAAATGTTCTTGGACCCAAGGCCCAGCTGCTCACTGTTTCAAAATCAAATCCCCAGAGAAAACAGGAAATCGGGTATAATCAGGAGCTGGCAAATGGAGTAAATGGCAGAGTCTTGCCCCAAAGTCCACCTCCTCTTTAATTAAGAAAAGAAATGAGTATAAATAAGTTTTGGGAGACCAGTATTGAGAACAAAAAAGTCAAATTTTATTGGCCTAAAATGTGTTAGTGGTAAAGAAAGACTGACTGGACTTAAATTCATAAGCTAATCACAGAACACTCCATATATAGATATGAAGAGATTTTCTTTTTTTTCCAGATAAATGAAGCTTTGAATTTCCACTGGTACACCTCCTATACTCATAGCCCCTTTCCCCCTGTGCTTTCAGTTCTCAGCTTGGCATCAGTTGAAGATTGTTGACAAACCTCTAGCCTTTCCTGTGTCTATAAATATAAGCCTCAATGAGAAAGTTAGATAAGTGTGTTTTTTTCTTAATTTCTCTACTTTGTGTTCTTAGATCCCGAAACTAATTTAACCCTTTCATTTCAACTTCAGTAATTCTGAATGAAAATGTGAGCCCAATGAGGAAAATATTGTTTATATTAGAGATTTATATATTAATTATTCTGTGATAATTAGAAATACTCCATCAAAGTTGTGACTATATTAATTGTAGGGTTTTTTAGAGAAAAATATGAATTTTTAAAGTAGTAAACTACCCTATTCCTAAACCATTCAGTATGTACGTCCTTTGTTTTTGTGATTTCTTCTCTTTGTTGAGCATTTAATTTATTTAAATTTTATGAACTGAATCAAATTGGAATATTCATTTGAAAGGATGCTGAGGTGGGATAATCAAGAGACTGTGCATTGGGAAAGGTAAAAAATAACTGTGCTTGACCTAGGAAAACATAGAAATGGTCCACCAGGGAATTTAAAATGAAATAATAGAGCATGCACAAAAGTTCTAGTTGGGGTGATTTTTGAAACAAATGACAAAATTACCACCCCCTGTGTGACTGTCATGATTCTCTTGAGGAAAGTTAATATTCCTCTTCTTAATTATTATCTCAATTATTTGTCTCTTGGGGACTATAAAGTGTGTGTGTGTGTGTGTGTGTGTGTCTCAGTGCAACTGGCATCAAAGTAAAACTATGGTCCCCTTCAAAGGTAGAAGCTATCATATGGAGATAGCAGTGGGTCTAGGAAACCTTTCAGCACCTTTGAATGCTGAACTGCCATTGAGCCCGAGAAGCTGAACAGAAGTATAGTTATCACTCTTCAATCTTTCTTGATTGTGTGTTATCTGAGCGTTTGATGTCATCACAATTTGCCTTGTCCCTGCATGGCTTGAGGCAACAGAAGAAAGAGTCTGATTCACTTTTTTTTTTCTTTTTTAAAGGGATTTATTTATTTATGCAAACAAAATTGGGGTACAGGCTAGAGGTACAGGGACAGAGAGAGATTTCAGCAGAGACAGAGTGGGGAGCAGAATAGGCAGATCAACGAAGTACACTGTTGAGGGGAGTAGTAGGCGAGACAGGAGACAGGAGTAATAATGCTTTAACCCATTATGCCAGCAGGGAGGACCCTGTTCATTCTTTAGCCATATCAAGTAGCCATTCCCGTCCTGAAGCTAGGAAGATGGTGGGGCTTCAGTTGTCTGTACAAAAGAGGGCCACATAGTCACTTAAAGCAAACAGAGGCTTAAGGAAGGTAACATTTAGAGGAACTGTTTCTAAGAATAGAATATGATCAGTGAAGTTTTTACATAGGTATTTATGTTTGTCAATCAAGAAGACAAAGATTTAGAAATATTTTTGCTATACTACTATTTATTAAGGTTTGTTAATGTTTAATGATACAGAAATTCTGAAAAAGACATATCCAAGCTTTGCAAGAAGACCACCATTTACATATGCCTGAGCTGATACAGGGGTTTTACTTAGGGCCTTGAAAATAATCTGAATGCAAACTAACTAACTAACTGACTAGCTAACTAGCTAACTAACTTACTAACTAGAGCCCCCTTGGTGGTATAGGGGTGGGGGATTGCCTAAGTCCCAGTGCTATGAAGCTATCCACAGCCACTGCAGAGAGAGTTGGGTCTGGCCAGGGAGCTAACCCATATGGTGTAGTATACTGCCCCTAACCTGTCCACTGCTCCCCTAAGCAGTGTATTTCAGTAGGTGCATTTGTTCTGCTCCCCACTTTCTCTCTGGTGATTCCCTCACTTCCTTGTACCTTTGGCCCATACCCCAGGTCTTGTATGCATAAATAAATGCATCTTTTTTTTTTTAAATAAAGCTAATGGCTGCTTGAAGCAAATACAATGAAACTCAAAATTTTAAAAAGCTATATCAATTTTTTAGCATTCAAAACATTTGAAAGACCTCTTTTTTCAGAAGTCAACTTATATAACATTTTCCTAAGAATAGACTAATAGTAAATACATGATTCAGGATTTTAAAGAAGAATGAACTTAACAGAATGTATTTAAATTCAGTCTCAGTTGCTCCTTTCATCTCTGATGGCCATGTGACTATGATCTCCAGGGAGCCAGGCAACACCTCGGCCTTCCTACATGTCTGAGAACTGTTTGTTCACAAGTACTTGATGCAGCTTGAGACAGGCAAAGGGATGAGGAGTCTTAATCTAGTAAGGATGGAGAAAGTAGGAAATGAAAGTGACAATCATGCATATATATTTTTTCAATCATGAATATATTTGAAATAAGTAGAAATAAAGAAGCTCTTTGCTTCTTATAAACCTAAATATGTTTTGTAGTTAGAGTTTTATAGTACTAAGGCTAAAAGGATGAGAGATTTTGATTAAAAACTTGTTGCGAGTGATAATAAAGGAGAGAATAAATTGGTACTAGACAGTGGTGTGCCAGAGTCAAGAGACAATTTTAAGGTGAGTAAAAAATGTATGTGGCTTTTTCTTGCTGAAAGGAAATAGGAATTTGGGAAGGGCAAAGATGCTAGAGATACAGGTGAGGAAGTAGGGAAAGTAGCTAGCTGCATCCTGTGGAAACTCTGGTGTGAGATGCTGAGCTCAGAAATGTTTGCTGCTCTTGCTATTTACATTGTCTCTCTAAATGGTAAGGGACAGAACTCCACAGTTTTTCTTATTCAAAGAAGTGAACAGAAGCTTTTCTGTTTTCATAGACATGTTGCAGTCCAGGAAGATGTAAGTTGTATATCCTGGGTTGGTGTTTGAAAGCAAAGCCTCCATCAATATTATTAAAAATTTGGGATTTATTTATTATTTTATTAGTATTTCATACTACATTGAGGGATCTTAACACAGCCACCTCAGGGTCCCCAGGACATATAGTGAATAACTCTTTTACAAGCACTCTTGATTCATTTGTTCTACTTTTAAATTTTAAATCATCAAATCATCATTCAATTTATTATATGATTTAATGAAAATATAATGTGTGTTTTTTTTTTTTTTTTACCAGGGGGATTTAATCCAAACAAAAGGAAGGAAGGGTGACATACTTAAGCTGAGGAAGAGATTTCATCCATGCTGTCCAGGTAATTATTTCACAAATTTTGAATACACAACAGGAGATTCACTTACCTTTAAGTTGAACCAGAACAAGGAAATCATCATTTTCTGGGCCTCAATTATTTAATTATGTGAAAAGAAAATCAAGGAGTCAGTCTCTAAGAGATTACTAAAATCCATACAAATAAATTAACAAGGAGGTTTATAGGAATCTGGTCTGGGTCTGAGTTAAGTCAGACTGATAGCTATTGCACGAAATACCAAGCAGAGGTCTGGCTGTAATCTCTCAGTCTTCACCCTGCAGACCACACCCTGACACAGACCAATCTGCTTCCTGGAGGAGGGAGACAGGGCCAGGGCTGGGCATAAAAGTAAGAGAAAGACCAACTGCTGCTCATACTTGCTTCTGAAGCTACCGTGTTCACGAGCAACTACACAAACAGACACCATGGTGCATCTGTCTGGTGAGGAAAAGGGCCTCGTCACCTCCATGTGGGGCAAGGTGAACGTGGATGAAGTTGGTGGTGAGGCCCTGGGCAGGTAGGTGTCCAGCTTACAGGGCAGGGCATGGAGAGTGAGAAGCTGGGCATGAGTGAGGCCCTGGGTTCCCAGGGGCACTGACTCTCTCTGTCCCCCATGACTCTTCAACCTTTAGGCTGCTGGTTGTCTACCCCTGGACCCAGAGGTTCTTTGACAGCTTTGGTGACCTGTCCTCTGCCTCTGCCATTATGGGCAATGCCAAGGTGAAGGCCCATGGCAAGAAGGTGGCCCACTCCATCACTGATGGCATCAAAAACCTGGACAACCTCAAAGGCACCTATGCCAAGCTGAGTGAGCTGCACTGTGACAAGCTGCACGTGGACCCTGAGAACTTCAGGGTAAGCCTCACAGATGCCCCCCTCTCTGTTTGCACTTTCCCTCTGGTCCTTAGCCAACATGCTTTGTCTCTCATTCCTTTTCTTTTACTCTAGGTCATCATTTGACACTTTTCAAAGTGTAAATAATTGGATACATTTCCTTTCAGCATCCCTTATTTCTTTTCTCCTTTTAGAATCAGGCTCTTTTTAATGATGACTCTTCCCCACCTCTTTCTTATTTTCCCCTAGCTTCCTTTCCTTTAGCCAGTACCCACTTATATGTGAGCATGCTCATCTGTTCCTTCTATTTGGGGAAACATATTCTGATACTCAATACAGGGACTGAAAATTCTCCTTAAAGAGAAGCACACAGGGGCCCTCCCTGGTGGCACAGCGGGTTAAAGCACAGCACTGGGAAGCTGAAGCCAGTTCCGCATGAGTTGGATTCCCGCCTGCCCAGGAAGTGACCACATGGCGCGCAGATCTCTCCTGACCCCCCCCCCCGATGCACCCCTCAGCAGTGTACTTCATCGATCTGCCTGTTCTGTTCCCCTCTCTGTCTCTGGTGAAGCCTCTTGCTGCTTCTGAGTCTCTGGCCTGTACCCTAGTTCTGTATGCACAAATAAATATATCTTAAAAAAAAAGAGAGAGAGAGAAGCAAATAGAGGCTATTAGTAATTTATAATTAAAGAATCCCTGGGACTTTATAAAGTCAAAAGACTAAAAAGAAAGGAAAGGAAATATCTGTTGACAAAATACCAGGAGTAGAAATGAAGGCAGCAGTATTTGGGAAAAGACAATCCACCATCACAATTAACCAATGGGTTAATGTACATATTGTAATACACATATGAATGAATTAATAGATATAATAATGTATAAATATATATGTTCATTTTTATTGGTGGGCATAGTCTGAAGGTCAGTTTGAGCTAGAGTGTGCAGAAAGCATAAAGGGGTGGCCCTTTATGTTTCTCAGAAGCCAAGGTTGATTTCTCTGTTAATCATGTCTATCTGTTTCTCCCCCACAGCTGCTGGGCAACGTGCTGGTGTGTGTGCTGGCTCGCAACCTTGGCAAGGAATTCACCCCCCAGGCTCAGGCTGCCTTCCAGAAGGTGGTGCTTGGTGTGGCCACTGCCCTGGCTCACAAGTACCATTGAGATCTTAAACTCTTCCTGGAGGCCATTGGAACACACTATTTCCCTATGTTCTGTCCTCTCAGCTTGGGGAAATAATATCCACCTTTTGGGCATGTGTTCTGCCTAATAAAGAACTTTCAGCTCAGCCCTGCTTCAGCTCACTTATTTTATATGATGTCTGAGGGCTTGGGGAATTCCCTAAGGGTGTAAAGTTGGGGAATCTTGTGTGTTATAGAAAGAAATTAAGATAGAATTGAGAAGTGGAAGGCAAAATTACTTGTCACTGATGGATGACACTTCACCTGTAGATCATAAGATTGCCAAAAATGTCTGAAATAGAGATAGAATATTGACATACAAGGGTTTAGGGAGACTTAGACCTAAACTTTAGGGTAAGTTTATGGCCTTTTTTAACTTTACTCAAACAAATGTGCTCAGTCAGTGCTGTTATTTCTTTGTTTTTGCTTTTTTTTTGCCTGCACATTTTTTTTTTAAAGATTTATTCATTTATTTATACAGAACTGGGGTACAGGCCAGAGTTGCAGGGGCAGTGAGAGGATTCACCAGAGACAGAGTTGGGGGGGGGGAGCAGAACAGGCAGATCAACGAAGTACACTGCTGAGGGGAGCAGCAGGCGGGCGGGTCAGGAGAGGTCTGCTGCTCCATGTGGTCACCTCCAGGGCAGGCGGGAATCGAACTCATGCGGAGTGGCTTTCGATTCTTAGTGCTGCGCTTTAACCCACTGCGCCACCAGGGAGGCCCCTGCCTGCACATTTTAACGTAAAATATGCTGCACTATAAGGGCTTTATACTCCATGGAATAACCTCCATTTCTCACTTGTCAAAATGACCTACAAACAACCCTCACCCTAACCTATTGTGACAAAATTTACTGCTCACATATGATTTGTGTCCTCTCTTGACCCTGACCTCAATGAACCCCTCAGTATCTTGCCTAAGAAGATTTTTCCAACCCTCCCCTTTTATCCTTTTCCATTTTCTTCTAATCTTTCTCTGTGGGAGACACATTTCTGCTTTTGTCCTATCTTGTTACTGCTATGCCTTGTTACAAAGCTTCTGAACAGAGGGTAAGTGAATATGTATGAAGAGAAATAATCATGATGTTTCTTGTCTTAGAACTCCTGGAACCAGAGGGCAATGTGAACAATTGTCTACGACCCTCTTTCCTTTGGTGATAATGCCACGATATGCAGTCAGGAGGCACTTGGGGGAGTAAAGGAGTCTCACCAGCCATTTGCCTTGTGATGATAGGTAGTAACGTACCTATATGTATAACTTCACCAATGGAAAAATTAGAGGACTTCTAAAATTTTTTAATATGTATGTGTTTAAGTCCATGTGATGTTTCTTTTATTGAATTTTGGACTTACTTAACTTTCTGATATAGAGCCTATTGGTTCCTATTTTAAGAGCTTTCTTAAAATCTCTGCCTGTACCAGGGCACAAGCAGCATTTTACAGTTTACTGTCTTCACTACTGTATTTTGAATTATCCAAGGACGGAGGCTTTTTTATAGTAAATTTTTTCCTTCTTATTTCATCATACTTTGCAGTCTCTGAGAACACTTTATGTTTGTAAAGATCTGTAGAAACAGAGCTTCATAATTTAAAATCAGTGTTTCTTTGGGAAGATCTAATCAGAGACCTGAAAGATAATAAGGCAGAAAGGAACCCAGTGAAAGAAGGAAATATAAAGAAAAAAATGAAGGAACACTTCAAGACACCCTGACTCTCTCAGGGAAGGCAACATTAGAATAATGGATCTCATGGGCCTCCCTGGTGGTGCCATATGGATATATATATGGGTTAGCAATCAAAAACAGGTTCATGCTATTTGTGGCAACATGATGGAACTAGAAGGAGCATGATGGAACTAGAAGGGACATGATAGAATTAGAAGGGAGCTAAGCATTAGTCAGAAGGAGAAAGATCGATACAGGATAGTGTAATTTATATGTGGAATAGGTCGCTATGCACTGTGAGTGCATCACACCTGCTTTTGACATTGATAGATTGGAAGTGTGGGCTTTAGATAGCTGCTGTACACTTAGGGAACTATCACACAGCTCTGCTAGATAATCTTTATGTGTTTTGTGAGTATGTTGTAGGTCTCACTGTATTTAATCAGGTTTTCTTTGAGAAGCTTAAGTCTATTGTAAGCACTCTAAGCTCCCTGTTACTCTACTTTTCCTTTTCTACGATAGCCATTATTCTTTTTTTAAAGCTCGACCAATTTATTTATGCATTCACCCTCCATTTGATGTACTGTGCTTCCAAATTTTCTCTAGAATTTTAAATCTCATCTACTGAGAGATTAACATCCAGAATTTCTTATTTAACACCTCAATTTCAATTTTCTGTTCACTAATTTTTTATCTCTCAAGTCATTAATTTCTTTTAGTGATTTTTGTTGCTAAACCATTTTAAATACATAGTCCCAGGAAAGGTAAAACAGATAGTGAAATCATAGGTAAGGAGTTACAGAATCACAATTCTTCTAATTCCAAAGTTAATGCCATCTTCACTATATAAAGCTGTCTCTAATCATCAACACTGATGGGGAATAGATTAGCACACATTTCATGACATGGAAGAAATGCTCAAATAATAATAAATTTCTAAAATAATATGCTGGCTATCTTCAATTCCAATTCCAATAGACAGCTCAAATGCAATATGTTGAAGCCTTAATAAATAATCATTTTACACATATTTGAATTTTCTATTGTATACTAGTGAAACATAGTATACAATACAATGTTGTTCATTCATTTAACTAAACCAAAATTCACCTAGCAAGGCAATCTTACTCTCTCCTCAGTCTTCTATACCTATTTAATCAGTAATTTCATGCCATTGTAGTTGTTATGTACTTATTGTAAGATGGTGAATTCCTGTTCATATATTAGTTTCATACTATTAGAAAATAACCTCAAACATTATTAAAAATCATTTCACAATATATGTAGGTGATAGAACTTAAACTTTTAATTTATTTAATGATTATTTATATATATATATATATATTTTACATCATTGTTTATTTTTTTTATTACAATGTTTGCTTTTTTCCCCCCTCAGGTATAGTCCCCATAGAATTCCCACCACCAATTCACCAGTGCCCCCTTACCATATTTCCTTGTGCTCTTTCCTCCCTTGTTTTGATCCCTTTCCCTCCCCTGCAGAATGTCTCTGATTTATGTCTCTGTTTATTTTTATTTTGTTATGTTTTTTATTGATATACCTTAAACTTATACCACGTTCTATCTCAATATCAATGAAAAAAGCATAAAAATATACTATTGCTTAATATTCTAAGTGTTTCACTCAAAATTATATGCCTATTAAATACCAAAATCAATATTTGATTCCAGTTCTCACTATCTGCAAAGACCATTTCCTAAGTTATAATTGCACTTCATCCTGGCTTGTCTTTTCCTTAAACATGCCCATATTCATATTTTGAATCTAATACAGACTACTTCAAATTTCAAATCTCTATCATTCTTTGTCTATAGTATTACTGTAAGTTCTAACGAAATATTTTAACTTTCCTATTACACCTTGCTGTATGGGTTAAAAGGTTCTGTCGTGAACAATTTGAGGTCTAGTTTCAAGTTAGTAACTAGTTTGGGGACCAAGTTATACAATTGTTTTATGTTCCAGCTCCTCAACAATTACAATAGTAATGTTAGCTCATGGTGAAGTTATTAATAAAAATAATACTACAATCCATTTTCTCTACTTGCAACTACAGTGGACTTTCTAAAGGGCAAATCTGATGATCGCTCTCCTTTGTATAGTGTTATTTCTCCAGGATCATCGTTTTCTTTTTTCTAAAATGTGCACACACATACAGACACACACACACAGAAAGATCAGTAATGTTCTTTTATTCTAAGACATCTTCTCATGCTGCCTTCCTGTTCTAGGTCACCGATGCTCCATATTCTTCAGTATGCAATTCCTGTCTTGTACTAGATAATACTTTCTACTATACATTTTTTTTATCCTTCATTTCTTGTGAAATTTTTCAGTTGTGGCCTTTGTTTATTTCCATAGCGCATGGAGACTCATCACAAGTGTTAACCACAGATCTCACACCAGACACAGTTATTCACTCTTCTCTAGGCTCTGACTTTTTGACAGAACTCTTTTTCAACCACAACTCTTATCATAGACCCTCTGTACTGGTGCTGGTAAACAATGTGTTTTCAAGAAAAAACAAAACAATAAAAAATTAAAAAATAGCAAGTATTTTCAAGGCAAAATAAAGCAATAAAAAAAAGAAAAACTGATAACATGACTAGGAAGAATTAAAAGAAAAAATAATTTCTACAGCACCAGTGTTTTACCTGGATATTTTGTCTCATCACAGGACAATAGATCTTTCTGAATAAAATTGCTAACCTCACATCTTATTCAAAAGGCTATGGAAGTTAGAATGACCGGGTTTCCCAAAAATGTCAAACTCTGATATCTCACATATCCCACTTGGGTCATTCTAGAAATCTAATAATCTAGGGCTGTTAGGAAGCTAAGAAAGTGAAAGATAACATCTGCTAACATTTCACAATTTATTATTAATTAATACATGAATTTGATTCATTTAAGTAAAGAATGACACTTCCTCATCCAATCCACAAATACATGTTGAAAGCCACATTAAGGCTATCTTCCAATGCCACACTGTATGTTTCAGAATAAATGGTTCCTGGACAGGAAAAGCAAAGGAGACACATCAATGTGATCTTATACAGTCCCAAAGCAAGGCCTACCTATTTGTGCTCTACTCTCTGGCTTCCAGTAATAACATATCTTAGCAATAACAAGTTGCTAAACTGTTATATGAGTAACTCCCTGAAATTCTGTGTCTACATTTCCAGTCACCCCTCATCTGGTTTAGGTTAGAGATTCATTGGGTAGTTTGATTTATGGTCCTCAGCAAATTTTTCATCCCAAGATCTTGGCCAATGTCATTCTTTGCATGAGGTATTACAGTTGAGAACCCAATCTCTACTAGCAGGCAGGCAAATCTTTGGGAATTTAGTTTCACTGACTATGTAAAAAACACAGGCAGCCATTTTGTATAGCAATTTCCCAGAGAAATCAGATGGCATTCAGA